TCTCCCTCGATATTTCATGAGCTGATATTAAAGCTCATAATGACTGACATAAAATATGTTAATCTCTGAAGTAACAGAATGTCAGATGTGGGATGCGATTCTGAGTTACATAATAGCGTATGACATATGGCAACACAACAGATGTTTTTGGAAGACGGCGCTGAAGTGGTGGAAGCATACTTTTAGATATTTTTAATTCTGTTAACACTACACAGTGTTTTGTGTCCTAATTTGTGTCCTAATTGTATAATGTGGTTACCCAACAATGTTCCCGAAGACGTCCTGTAGAGTTTAGTTTCACAACAGTGTTAACTCGCCTTCCTCTAATATTCACAAACATCTGAAGACCTTCAATCTTAAAGGTGCCACAAAGGGTTCTTTGGAGGGATGTCCTAGAACAGTGGTCCTTACCCCAGTCCTCAGTGCCCTCTGGCCTGTCCACTGAGTAATGTAGTGCAGTATAGGGATGAATTATGTAAATGGTAATATACAGTATATGGAACCTAAATCTGTCCATCTTATTAATACATATCCTCCTGCAAATATGTGCATATATGTAATCAAAAAGCTCAGCTACAAAGAACTTATACTATTTCTAATTTGGCACACTTTCTTGCATGTGAAAGAGAGAAGTGATAAGAACATCTTGAACCATCGCCAAAACCTTACAAAATGGATTAGAACCTGAAGAAAACTGCTTTGGTAGAGAGTTATTACATACACACATGCACACATACAGACACACATACATGCAGTACAGTGCAAAAGTCTTTTACACCCAAGCGCATTATTTAAAACCAATCATCTTGGCAGTAAGTGTGTTTTTGCTTATAAAAAAAACCATATAATATTAATGCAAATAAACATAAATACAGTAAAAAGTAACAATAAATTCTTGTTTTCAAAAAAAGGGAGTTGATCTTAAGAGCTAGTTTGAAGAACAAAGTTTGTTTCCAGATTTCTCCTCAATGCCCCCAGCCATCACATACATTTGTGAAAGCACTCTTAGTCTAAGCAGGTATTGGATGATAACTACAATCAGTACTGGGCTGCACTGAGGAGATGTTTGGGAATAGTTAAATAAAAAACATACACAAAATCACTGTTTTTCTGAGCAAATACACACTTACTGACCAGCTTTTTAAATCTCTTTTTTTTTCAGGTGCCTAAAAATTGTACACAGTACTGTACACACATATGTCACCTGCATACCACTTTAAGATGTCTAACAGCATGCTAGTTGTGTGATAGAGATTTGATCCTGGAATTATCCAGGTCCACACTTCAAGTCTCATAATCACATAACTTTACTAGGGTCAGAGTAGTTACCAAATACTTAATAGTAGCTACTGAAAAATTAGCCTAAAATGACCCATATCCTACATATTTCTTGCATTTAACCTCCACCCCTACCCAAGACCACTTAAAATCTTTGTGTGGTTTTATTTAGCAAAAATGATCTGACCTCTGACCTCTGCTCTGATTGGGTGCCCTACATTGCACCTCATTTAAAAAACAGTTCAGTCTGAGACACTCCTTCTAACTTCACTGTGAATGGGCAGAATAAATGTGAATAAACTGCTGCAGGCTGAATGGACAGATATATAATTCATAGTTTATTTATTTGACATGGACATAACTGTAGCACTGGAGCTGCAGCATACAATTATGCACAAGCACCAAATGCACTGTTTGTAGTGTTTATAGCGAAACACTACTTTACAACACCTTTTTAAACGTAAAAAAATAAAGAGATACAATACAGGTACAAATACAAGTGTGTCAATACAAGAATACAGTGTGAGAACAATATTGTTTCTCTTTTAGCCATGATTTAACACCTCTAACACAGGTTGCGTTTTCAACTCAGTGGGTAAACAGTTCCAAATTGTTGCTCCTTTAACAGAGAAGGCTGATTGTCCAAATGAGGTTTTGCACTTTGCGCTACGATAATTACCGTTCGTTGAGGCCCGTGTGCTGACTCTGCTGTAGTGATGTGGTCTTGAAACATATTCACTACGCAGGGGGGAGCATGACCATGTCATATTTCTCCAAGATGTGCCAGTGGTTTTTTGTCCAGATTTTTTTATTATCTGGTTATGTAGGGATGTGATGGGTTTTAAAGTTGTTTGTGAGGCTTGTGACCGGAAGTGATGCAATATGATAGATGTGAGAATATCATATCATGAAGCAGCTGATTTTTGATTTAACTTTTTTTGCAGATATTAGTCTCTATTTCAGATGTGAATCTAAAATGATTCTTGACGTTGTCGACATCACTGATGACTTTAATTTTTTTATTACCTTTGAAGTTTCATTTTCGTGTCATTTACGTATAGAAAAACAGATTGAAACAGTTTTTTTTTACATTCAGTGTTAAGTGAGAGGTTTACGTTAATGCATTGTTTTTTTGTGAACCACAGCAGTCATATGCAAACGTTGGGACACCCCTGGTCAAATTACACTCTTCTGCACATTTTGATGCACAATTACTGTTTGTTTGCTGAACAAATTGGAAAAAGAAAAAACAGAAAATGTTCAAAAGTAATGGCACATTCTATATATGGTTTTATTATTTTTTTCCCTTATATGTTAAACTCAGAAAATAAACAGAAATTGTGCATCAAAATTTGCAGAAAAATGCATTATTTAAGTGTGTCCACTGTAGAGGATGTGTTAACTTTTTCATTTTCACTTCAACAAAACATGTCATTTGACCAGGGGTGTTCAAACTTTTGCATACGACTGTATATGGACTGTAAAGATGGAGGAGTCAACAGGACATTTTGAAAGTTTTTTAAACTCAGTGGTTACACAGTACATCAAGACTAGGGTTTAAAGGGTTAACACTCTAGGACTTAGCATAGACTTATGCAGAATACTGAAATTTGTAAGAATGTATGGCAGTAGTTCAATAGTATATCTGATCCAGCCCATGCCAGGGTTATTATAGTTTTGAAATTTCCATTAGTTTTAATTTTTATTTCATTTTTCTTTTTGGTTTTTGATTTCTGTTTAGTTTCATAAAGATTTAAGGGTGCATTTATTTTCTGAAAAGTAAGTTTTAGTTTAGGCTTTATTTCGTTGCAGTTTAAGGTTTAGTTTTAACATTATGATGAATGCTGTGATAGTAGGTATTTGATAAGGGTAGAATAAAATTCATACAACAGTAGCCTGAGCTCGGCTGGGCTCCAGCTTTCCTTAAAGACGGCTAAACACAGAAAAGTTCCACTTCTGAACTTTCATTTGAACACTGGAAGTTTTTATTATAGTTTTGATATCATGTTTTTGAAATTTGTGATTTGTTTTAGTGATAGTTTAAGTGAATTATATAATAACCCTGGCCCATGCCGGGCTTGATAACTAGCTGATAAGTTGGATCAGTGAGTTAAGGCAGGAAGAGCTGAATCTGTGCAGGCCAGTGGGTCCCCAGGACTGGAGCTGAGAAGCACTGATGTATGGAAACACAACTCTTAAAGTGTGGTCTGCTCTTGGTTAGCTGACAGCTGGTTGGAAGGGAATTTTAAAGGAGGTTGGGGGACAGAGTGACTCATGTTGTCACATCTCTCCCTTTATGAGCCTCTCACCTCATTAAGTCTCTAACAGTGTGGAGAGGCTCGGACAGACTGGAGGACTTTATCACACCACTGATCTCCCCCATCGTCCTCTCGCCCTTCAATCTCTCCTCACCCCCCGCACTCATCACATACTGAGGAAATGACTTCAGCCGCTAGTATCATTTACTTTTTCATTACTTTTTCATATTAATGAGACTTAATATCTTGGTAGGGGTGTTATAAATTAGCACACTCTTAAAAATAAAGATGCCATAAAGGGTTCTTTTGAGGGACCAAAGAACATTTGAATGGATAGTTCTTTAAAGAACCTCCACATACTATAAAGGTTCTGTATATCAATTATATTATATTGTACCGGACCACTTAGGAATAGTGTTTCTTCGATCAGTGGTGTGCGTGTATGTGTGTATTACATTACAAATAATATTGTCAGCAAGACAATTTAAGTGAAATGTAGAATCTCTGGAATATCTGAAGATTTTTTCATTATTTGACATGTTATTAATAACACCATGCACTTGAGATGGATGCATTTCTCATAACTTTTGTTTATTGTGTTTCATTTTGAAACTTTGTTTATTTCCAAGTTTTAAGTAAGCAAAAATTTTCATTCTGGTCTCACTTTTGGACCCCACTGTATAGTTGTATGCTAAGTCTTATGCAAAAGTTTGAACACCCCCTGTCAAGTTACATTTTGGTGATTTTCTAAGTGAAAATATGTTAAGCCAGACTTAAATAAGTAATTTATTATTTTCTGAGTTGAACAACATTGGGAAAAAATTAAAACTTGAAATATAAAATGCACCATAACTTGCACACAGGTTATCTGTTGAGGATGTGTTAATTTATTTTGACTCAGAAAATCAACAAAACTTAATTTGACCAGGGGTGCCCAAACTGTTGCATATGACTCTGCATATACATCATATGTCTCAAGTAAACAGATGTTTATTAAGATACATACATGTATAATTTGTGGAAAAGATCACTGTGTATCTTTAAACCTGAGAGCTCTGTGGTGTGTGAAATAATTCTCCAGTAGAAATGCAGGGGGCACTATGCTCACACTCTTGGTGTCTCCACGCTCAAACGGACAGCCGTGCATGATTGACTAAGGGAAGCATATTAATGTGATAATACAGTAGACATTTCGGTGCCTTCTTTGATTCTGACCCACACAGAGAGTAATGACCTTGGCATTTATACTCATTTTGATAAGTCATCAAATTCATATCAAAAGGAGTAGCTCAAGTGACATTTAGTTCCTCCGGGGTTGCAAGGAAAAGAAGTCTTCCATGAATACCTAAAAGGTCTAGATCTTCAAGTCGGTCAATTAAACGTAAGGCCAATTCAGCGGCTACTCGAGTAAAGTGGCAGAGCTTTAGTCGGGCTAAAACCTCAAAAACACCAGATGAGACCACACAGCTTTCAACACCTCATTTTATTGTCCCAACATTCAAAAGTACAAATAATTCAAACACAACAGTTTATGAAAAAGAAAAAAACATTTACAGCAAGATTTTTTTCATATTTTGTTTCCAGTTTCAGAAATGACCTAAACTAGCAAGGATAACATGAAGTCATTCATCGCAGTAATTTGATTAATAATAAGAATAAGGATAATAAGAATAATAGTAATCATAATAACAATAATCAATAATTGATAGTTAAGTAATAACATAAGTAGGAGAGACCAGCTTGGTCCAGTGAACATTTTTTCATCTTTTTTGTCTTTAAAGATTTATAGATTCTCAGATAGTAAACAAACACATCTTCAGGAGAAAATGAAAAATGACAAGAGCCTTGTTCCTCACTTGGCCTTCCCTCCTACACTACTGGCTGTTGGTTTCCTATTGGCAGGCTGCCACTATAAGGCGCTACAAGGGGAGAAAGTGAGCCACAGCGATTTGGGCACGTACCGTGGAGGCATGGCCCCATGTTCCACACACCCTCACCCCCCACCCCACGTGCCCCAAACACACACACACACACAAACACACATGCACACATGCACACACACGCTCTCAGTCACGCTCAGACTCGCGGAGGGTGATGTCATGAGCGAAGAGGAGGAAGTGATGTAGGAAATTAGTTCGTACATCAGAACAACATTCTACTGGGGTCGTTGCATAATTCAAACTGCCACCTGCGGTGGGGTTCGAGGAGGGCTGTGCTACCGCCCAGCAGACGGAGCAGAGGATGGACGGACGGCGGAGGTGCAGCTGAAGAGGTGGACGAGTGCGTATGAGTGCGTGTATCTAAGCAGTTAAAGATCTCCAACATTCACAGCAGGTCTATCTCAACGTGAGCTGATTCCCTACTCTCAAAGAGCCATTCACTAAATTTACCTCTCAAAATAGACTATATCTTAGAAAATATATAATGGGTGTCATCTATCAAATATCATCTTCTATAGCTATTTTATTTCAACCAGTACAATCAGCGTCAATGCTTTTTGGAGTTGTGTGATGTCACATATGCAAATGGTAGAATTTGTCGAAATCAAGGTAAAATGGTTACACTGAGTTCGCCACTGATAGGTCCAATGCAATGAGTCATACTAAAACAATGGACAAACAGTATAATAATCAAATCGAGGCAGCTGAGCCTAAAATGTTGGATGCCATAAAAATCCATGAGAAATTATGTCTCAGACCCACATTTTTGCATAAAGTTGGATCACAAAGCAACGGTAGTGTGTGGAGGGAGGGCGGGAAGCGGCTTTTAAAACTACACAAACTTATCACAGGTTATATTGAACCAGAACAACTGTTATAACATTCTATTAAGACTAAACTTTATTGAAAAAGATTTAAAGATTTATGTTTAACAAGACAAGAAAAAAGCAATAGCAAATTTAACTATCGACTAGGTTATGCATAGCGAGTAACTGTTTCTAGTAATAAGGGAAGAGCCTCACCAACCCTCTTGACATTTTTTTAGTTTTTGACTTTTAAACTTTTTTATATTGTAATTTTGATATATTGGTACAAAGCACAAACGTACTAAAATTTCTCAGTGCACAGGACTAATGGAAGAGCGTCTCCCCTAGTCGTTTGTTCCCTTTAGCTCAGAAACACCCCCCTCCCTGTACCAGAATCACACGAAAACACAGACAACATAACAACAAACAAACAAACAAATAAATAAATAAATAATCAAGATAAATAAATAATTTAATCAATGAAAACAATCAGTCGATCAATAAATAAATAAATAAATACATATTTTCAAGAAGCTTTTTTGTCCGGTTTCTTTTGCCGCGGCGGTAAACGTAAAAAAATAAACAAATAAATAAACGGAAAAAAGAAAAAAATCGAATCCAATTTTTCTTTTTTTTTTTTCACAAGCGACATGACAACATATTAAACAGGATTCCTCACGAGTTTTCTAAGTAACTGAACCATCACTTCATAAAGTTTTCATATGAAAAAAGACAAGCTTGAACAGAAAACAGTGACAACTCATAGATATAGATATCGTAAAACAAATGTAGACTATATATCATCTATTTGTACACAACAAAGAAAGACACATTTGTAATAGATCCTTTGAGGAAACAAATACTAGACTAACAAAACTAGCTAATTATCATTGAATTTTGACAAACGCTGTACACTCAGCAAGTAACCTATATGTCAGCAAGCCAAAGAAAACTCGTTAAGTGATTCTTACAAGGCCCGAATTTTGCTCATCTGGCTTTCTCGGCACAGAATTCTCTGGACCAGATGGGGGCCAACAATTAAAAGAAACAAAATGAAAACAGCAGCTCAATTTAATGCCAACACCGAAGTTTCGTTTTTTTTTCTCTAAATAACACACAGAACAACAAACTTGGATATTTAAGATATGTGAACCATGTAATATAGCACCTACGGTTGATCGCTAAAGGAAGTACATCTCAAATGCAATATCACCAAATCAGAGTGAAAGGAACTTATGCTTCCTACATGGAGAAGTGTATATGTATGCATTACCGATATCCCAAAGACTGATGATGGAAAGAAAATGAGTGGACAATGTGTGGCCTTTCTTTGGGCTCTTGACTACGAGGATGCGTTAGGCCTGGGAAGACCCCTATCCCTCTCCTATTGGGTATCGCTGTTGAACAATTACGTGCTATGAAAAATTACCTGCCTGAATTTGCATCTCTTGATAAAACCATCCGTCTACAAAACCATTGCCAATCTGGTTCTCCCCAAAAAACAAACAACCTTTGATCCTAAAAAGTACCACGGCAGAACGAACAAGACAAGGTGGCACCTGACCCCTCCCCCCAACCCCTAATTAGCCAGTCAAAATATTTTTCTCTTTTTTTTCAAATCCAGATTCTTGTAAAAATTCTTCAATAATTATTATTTTAATCATTATTTATAAAAATAGATCTTCTTTCTCTTTATTTTTTCATTTTTTCTAAACGCATTTTCAAGCAAAGAGATTTTCTCTTTGGCAACAGTGTGTGTGTGTGTGTCTGTCTTTTTTTTTTTTCGTCAACAGGAATGCTAACCCATCCCTTCCCTCTCCCTGTCTCCCGATCCCTCGTGAGGAAAGACATGTGTTCTGTTTGCAGTACAAAACAAAACAATGTTAGAAATTTCTTCTGCATTAGAGAAAAGGGATGGCATCATCCCTGTCAATTTACTTGGGGGGTTTAATAATATACACCAAAACAAATGAATGAATGATCACCGACTGTATTTTTAAAAAGAGCCCCCTCCCATTCTCTTCCCAGGGAGGCGTTATACTAACGACAGTGGATCCGGATTTCAAAAGAGAACAAAAGGAAAACCTGAATCAAGACCAAGAGAGTTCAATCTAAAGAAGGACATTCTCTTCTTTGAAATAAGGGCGGACTGGTTTTGCTACTGTTTTACAGAGAGAAGAGAAAACAAAGAAACAACCACAAGAACTCAAAGGATATACAACAGAATGCCTGTACCACTTACAGGTCTTCCAAATCATTAATATTTTCCGTTTTTCAATTTTTCTAATACTTAGGCAACATTGGCTTATAGGTCCAAAGGTATATTATAAGCCATATCCAGTTCTCTTTAGTTGGTTTGTTGGTTGGTTGTGTTCCTGTTTGGAGTAGGCTAGCTGTGTGGGCTGAGGTGGGTGTTTGTTAGTAGTGGTGTTTTTTTTACGGGGCTACACGAGAGTGGGGAGGGAGTTCAGGACTTGTGGGTCTTGTTGGTCTTGAAGGACACCTGCAATACGCGGTCGCCCAGCCGGTACCCATTCAGACTAGCGATGGCCATGGCCGCTTCATCGTAGTTTGTCATGGTGACAAAACCGAACCCCTTGCACTTGTTGGTGTTGAAGTCGCGGATCACTTTGACGTTGTTGACGGCGCCGAATGGCCCAAAGAGCTGCCACAGGACGCTCTCGTCTGAGTCTGGAGACAGGTTGTAGACGAAGATGCACCAGCCCGTGCCGGTGTGTCCGGGAATATTCATCCCTACTAGACTGGTCATGCTATCTATGGTGATGGGAGAGAACCTGAAAACAACAAGAGACAGAGAGAGAGACAGAGAGGGGTGTGGAGAGAAGGAGAGGGAGAAAGAGAGAGAGCTGTGTTTTAGAGAACTTGTTTTCGCAGTGTGGATGCAAACATCACTGGAAAGAAAGAGCCAGATGAGTGACCCTAGCTTTTCGCACCAGCTTAACACGTGAAGCTGCAGAACATCAGTGGCACATTAGAACATCACATTAGCTCTACAGTCTGCACCAACTCACCTACACTCCAACCTAATTGTGTGAGCTGTCTCTGACAGGGACCGGCCTCTCTGCAGCGTTAGCGTCTTTTGAATCTATTGCTCTTGATTTAAGATGATTTGAAGTTTCTGTTCAATATCTGCTCGGTGCTGAAAGGAAGGCGCCTGGTGGTTTTTTGTATGCAGTCTGAAAAGGCTGCACTGTAGACTGCGGGAGGGCTGCATGAAAATGCCATTCGCACAGGCGCCCGAGACACAGCGCTCCTTTCTTTCTTTCACTGTCTTCCTGAGTGGATCTATTGGAGAAACTAAATTGCAGGAACTCGTCACATTAATACCTCTCGAATTCATGGGAGATTTAGAATGCAACTGAGTAAATCTGCTCTCGTTCCTCTTGTAATCTTGCCTTTTTCTCCCCCACTCGCTTTTCTTTCTCTTGATACAGAGATTTGAATGCTCAGTTGACTTCAGTTAATTGCCTTTCCGCTTAAAGGAAATTTCCACTTTAAATAAAAGGTAAATTGGATAAAAGGTTCATTTCATATGCCAGTTCTTCAGGAATGACTATAGGCATTATTGGGGGGTGCTTTAATTGAGATTTCCGCTTTGCTGCAGACGAGACGGCTCTGGCGAAGCTGTTGTTAGTAGTGAGCAAAAGGGTCGTGCGAGTGTGCGTGTTTGTGTGCGGGGCGCAGGGTGGGGTATCGAGGGGGGAAAGCAGTAAGCAGGGGGTGGAAAATGGAAGCGGTGCTTTCGAGCTTGCCTGGCGTGGGGAACAGAGTGTATTCCACCCACACCCTCAGTGGCTCCGCAGTGTATGACTGTGATCGATAACGCTGCGCGGACCACAGGGCCGGCCAATTCCCTGCTTCTTGTTTTGCCAAGAATTACTCAGACGTTTCATCTGCGCTTTAGCTGCCGCGTCCTGGCAAAAGTCGACGCGTCTGTCTTTCCTACCCCCCACCCCCTCCGCTCCCCACCGTCTTTTGTGCCGCGTCGACCGCGTCTCATTATGCAAACGAGGAGTATAATTGCACATCGGCTCACTTTACGTTCGCTGACAAGCAACCATCTCATAACTTCAATTACGGCGTGTTTCTGTGTAAATAATGAATCCGGCACCATTACTCATCTTTGAGAAGAAGGGTGCGGGGAGAGAGAGGAAAAAATGGCTGCATGGTAATTTGGATGCCAGTCATCTGCGCGAGTGCGTGAGGGCCAGCGTAGCTTTAACGCACGCACTGGAGGAAAAGGCTCCTGTCGATTCGAGCAGAGGCCGCACGCGCGCTCCTGTCTGCTCGTCGTTTCGACCGAAGGGAAAACAGTTGGACAAAGGAGTTGCATAGCAACAAGCAGCTGACCTGCAGCCAGCCCACTGCCGTATACTGTCCACCTTCGCCCGTCGCCGCTCACTTCTTCCTTTGTTAATTACCTTTCACCACGTGCTCCGTAGTACACAAAGCATCCACCCTCCACCCCACCTCTTGCTTCCCTCTCGAGGAAGACCTGCTTGTGTGATTTGTGCGCACGGCCCTCTCCGCCACTTTGACAGCTAATCGCAGTCGGAGTAAATAATGAGAGCACTTTTGTCTCGCCGTTGTTGTTTCAGATGCTCTCTGCCTTGTTTGCATATCTTGCTTCATTGTCTAGGTTCATCGGATTCACCTCGTGGCTTCTGTAATTTGTAACTTCTATTTTCTCTTCCCTTCCCAAATGTAATGTCTGGATACGCTGAACATATTAGCTAGCTAGGTAGAGATCAGTGAAGCTGAAACCTGCCACATTTTACTTTCTGGATTTTCAAAAGGCAGTCAGTGTTGGTTTTCTAAAGAAAGTGAGAATATGTGGAAGAAACCTTGGACGTTTTGTGCTGTAAAAAGTAATGCCTTGAATTTACTTGATTGAAATGTGTACATCATTTCAGCATTAATAAAATATACCAGGGTTGGGCTCTAAGAGAATCCATGTTTGAACAGGCAGTGTCCAGAATAAAGTTACCTTTTACATTTTTAGGAGAACACTTCTAGAATGCTTACTCACTGAATTAAAATACATATATAATCTTTTAAAAAAACATCATCAGTGCTTGTTTATTAACTAAACTTAAAATTAGTGCATTGTGCATGAAGATGTATTCTAAAGAAGAACTTCAAAAACAGTATGTTTGCCAACACTGAAGTTCCTGCTAAAGCCTGAGTAGACAGATAAATCAACGTGATTATCAGTTATTAATCTGTGTTACTGAGCTCTGCTAAAGCCTGAGCAGACTGATAAATCAACATGATGATCAGTTATTAATCTGTTACTGAGCTCTGCTAAAGCCTGAGCAGACTGATAAATCAACATGATGATCAGTTATTAATCTGTTACTGAGCTCTGCTAAAGCCTGAGTATACTAATAAATCAACATGATGATCAGTTATTAATCTCAGTGTTACTGAGTTCTGCTAAAGCCTGAGTAGACTGATAAATCAACGAGATGATCAGTTATTAATCTCAGTGTTACTGAGCTTTGCTAAAGCCTGAGTAGATTGATAAATCAACAAGATGATCAGTTTTTAATTTGTGTTGCTGAGCTTTACTTAAGACTGAGTAGACTGATAAATCAAGGTGATCAGTTATTATAAAACTGCCAACCAGGAACAATGAGGAACAGTGGAAATTAAATAAAAAATACAACTGAATACATTTAGGACAGCGTATTCAGTATTCATCCATCACTAATTTTTCACTGTATTCTGCCCAACACTGTATATTACATCAGCACAATTTTGGCTTTCAGTTTTACTCACTTTTGGCAATAACTGTGTTAAAAAAAAGTTACACATTTGAAACAAGTAAGTTCAGTGATTTACTAGTTATTTTACTAGTTACTGACTAGGTATTCAAGCCAAGAAAAGAAATGATTGCACTGCATCAGTTTGACATCTTCCATCACTTTGCTACTAAAAAAGATGCTAAAATATGCAACAAAATGTCAGAAGCTCTATCACATAGACAAAAGACATCATTTCACTACTCTTCCACAAGGGCACAAAAGCAAACAGCACATGAGCAAAACCCAGGTGTTCAGAGGTTGCACTACCTGCAGTGAAACACAACGTTTCCTGCAGGGATCCAGGTAAACTCTCACCCCTCCTCCGCCTCACTCTTACCCTCCTCATCCAAAAATAGGACAGAGCATTTAAGGTGCAGTGGTAGGAGTTTATGGTAAAATAGCATGAATCATTTAATGAGACTCACTGGCCAACACTGGTCCCTGAAGCATTTTTGTTGTTTCTAACAGCTTTTCAGTTCCTACCCCCAGCCATATGTCTAATATTGCTATGAAAATAAAAGGAAGAAGCAGCCAGATTGTGACTGCAGTAACACCTAAGTCATTTTGGTGGGTTTTAGACCTGCAATTGGGTGTCCAGAGGCTTACAGGACTTCAAAACGGTGATGAATTGGATCATAGCAGTATGACTATAAAGATCCTAGGCGGAGTCTGGGCTCGAGCCCCTGAATCCTATGGCAGCCACACCTCCATACAAGGGCTACACATAATAAAACACAGAAAATACCAAACGTGATACAAAACTCAAAAATCTGCAGTCATCATCATCAAATAATGCATACTCAACACTAGAAAATATGAAGGATAATCTGGCTTTTTAAGCACTAGAGTGGTTGGTGGTTTGAAATCAAGCAGAATCAAGTAAAAAACAATCAAACTTATGCAACGGAAAAAACCTTGAACTGAACGGAATGCAAGTGACTTTTCAGAAAATGAAGAATCAAAAAAACGATAGAAATCATTTTGTCAACATGGACATCTGGCATTCGGTGAAGTTTAATTACCTCTTAACGCCATAGGCCATATTAAGCAAATTGTCCAGCCTGTGAAGAGAAGGAGGGTTCTGGGGTTAATGCCAGGCAGATGGTCTACTCACTCAATGGAACTAATGCTACAGCCCTGCGTCGCTGAAGGAAGACGCCCATCCAGCAATGGGCCATTACACTGTTCAGCCCCATCAGGCATCTCGCAGAGTCAGTCACTAAGCTAGCAAAGTACAAGGCTAGCAGCGGTGCTAACATTAATTTGGAAGGCCAGTCCACCGCCCACCCGGTGCCAAACAGACTCAGTGTCATTGCTAATGTAGCCTACGGCCACGCAGAGGAGCAGGAGTCTAGCAGTGTTATGACTTCAGACAGTTTTTGGTTGATATATTGGTGGATGGAGTCTCAGAGTTGAAATTCAATATAATACTGCAATTGAATGATGAACACATTATTTTCTTATCCTGAGTTCTGTCATTGTAATGGCTTTGTATTTGTGACAGATGATTTTCAGACTGATTTGAGGGACTGTGGCACACAGGGAATTCACCAATATCAAACAATTAGCTATCAAAGAATGAATTCATGTCATGTACAGGATCATGTAAAAATGATATGCTGGTGGTATGAATGAAACTGTCTCCAGGGTTCTGCACCTTTTAGTGCAAGCGAAAAGTTCAATAATTTAATATGACATTTGAATGAAGTTTGAGGCAGAATGTAATGGAACATTAAATAGAGGTGTCTCTTGCTCTCGTTCTCTCTCTCTCTTTTTCTCTTTCGCTAGTCTCTTCATTAGCCCTGGTGACCCGCTGGGCCGGTGCATTAAGCTCTCATCCTCATCAGTCACTCTCGTTTTGGGTTCCCGTCTGTTTGGCCACTCCACGACCTCCATCCTTCACATGGCCTGCCCCTGTCTAACGTCTTATTAAGCCTCGTCAAGATGGCCGACAGGGCTAATTAACGCTTTCTCACAATTTAGACCAAACTTTTTCTCACAAATAAACACACCCTCTCATAAACACACACATTCTTGCTGACTCTGTGAGCTCATGAGTTGGTGGCTCTACTCTGTCAACTTGACAAAAAAGGCTCTGCGATGAAACCAAAACCAGGGCATTCAATGTGCCGCATCATTAAGGCGCCAATTAGCCAATTAGCCAGGCAGGTTGCACCGTGGGTAAATGAGTTAATTGGAGAGGGGGCTTTGAGGTGCAAGAGTGGGCTTCTATGTACGAGACATCGGCAGGCCTATCTGAGCCCGGTCTGGCCGCGCCTACGGCTTTTCACACCATCTCCCCAAACAAACATAGCACAATAGCACCTTTGTGTGGCCACGAAATTCATGCAAATGTAAGACATCCTTTTCATTACTATTCAGTTATAATTGTTTGTGATGTATGAGGGATTAATTACTGATTACTATCATTAGCATTACAGTACAGTTATAATTGCCAAGCACGATTCATTTGTGTTAATGCATGATCCGGGGCACCTAGATTGTACAACTGAACAGATTATGTAGAAGAAATAAGTAAATGGTATTTTATCAAGTGGATGAGACTTAACATAACACTACTAATTGCAACTTGCTTTATAATATTTTGACATTAACAGGCTGGATATGTTGTTAGCCAATTGTTAATGGTGACTGGTGACATGGAATTGAGATGAAGGGGTGATGGTGTGTTAATGAAACAGAATCGTCATGGTGACATTGTGAACAACAGAACCCCACTGTCTCTTATAAACAGTCCTTCAGTCCTTTTTTGTCATGTTCATTCTTGTTTTTTTTTTTTTTTTTAAATTACAGGGGGGCAACTCGTTCTGAAAACTATCTAGTATCTTACAAGCTTCAATTGAACTCTACAGTCAACAATGACAAAAGTACAGTTGCTTTTTAATCTCATTTTGCATTTCTGATATTTGAGGAACCACCAATTTGGAATTCTATTGAATTACAGGTTAAATCAGACTCTGTAGACAACATTGTTCTGCTATCATAGTTTCTTTATGGAAGTTGCTGGTTTGCAGCCTGGCTGGCTGGCTTTACCTGAACCTCTGGGCTTGGTGGTGCAGGGGGCCGGGGTAGCGGCGGTTGGGGGACTGGTAGAGCTGGGAGAGGAGGGCCTGGCTGGTCTTCTGGCTGGGGTTGTTGGCAAACTTCACTGTGATGGGTTCTGCTGCTCCGGAGGGCTTCTGTCCATTCAGACCCTTGATGGCCTCCTCTGCTTCTATCCTCTTATCAAAGCGAATGAAGCCCACCCCGCGTGAGCCACCTGCAGGGCCAGCACATCACAAACACAACAGATGTTACATTTACAGGCTTTATCTTATGCTAGCAGGTTGTATTTAACATATCAGTTCAAAATACCCTGCTAAAACACTATTTTTACATGAGCATGTTGTTCTGCTAATCTGACTAAGACAATGTAAACAGCAATGTTTTAGATAGACGACCTTAGTCTTGTGGGGACGAATGTGATCTTGTAACAAGAATATATGTCTGGGGACAACCCTTGCTCCATCTAAAACCTGTCCCAAATTCCTTTATTCTATGTTCTGTTACCTTCTACAATCGATAACACAAGCAAAACAAGCTAGATAGCAAAATGCTATTGTTCGCTAACAGATCTGTTTTTCCCTTACATAACGTAAGATTTGTTTTTACCGCATGTAATGTATTCTCCGCACATGTGACACACATTCAGATAGTATGTGGTGTTTCTGGGAGAACATTACCCAGCCACCCTAAGAAGTCTATGCTCCCACCCACATTTAGCCAAAAATTATCCCCAGGCCCAGGTTGTCCCTAAGCCTCCTTGTTATGAGATCACGTCTGGCTCCATGAGACTAAGTCAACCTAAGGTTAGCATGATTAAGACAAGGCTGGTCCAGGCTGATCAGATTATCTGAGGTACATTTTTGCAGTACCGCATAGGTGATGACAAGAATTATGAATGACAAAAGGCAAAAGAGCTCGCAGATTTGGGGGAAGGCAGAGACATCCCTCAGAAACAGACATCTTGATATGCTTACACGGAAGGCATAATGCTGATATTTTGAAATGGTAGAAAACTCACAAATGTCTTGGTTTGGTGCAGTGTCTTGGGACTAACTAAGAACTTAAGCGGGCTATTGTGTGCATGTAAACGTAGATAGTAGAAACTCACTCTGACTCTCGCTTAGAGACACACACACACATACTGAATCCATTCCCTTTATATGGAGATAGAGCAGCCATACATATGGCTTGATGTCGAAAATGGCGGATGACAGTGATGTGCGGTCCATGTGTGACGGCTGCTATTGCCGGTGTCACATTATGCAAATGAGCCGTGAGCGAACGGCAAGACTTCATTGGCTGCCCCGCATTCCGCCGCTGTCAGGCAGACGTGTAATTTGTTTTCCTTTCTTCACGAGAGGATGGAGATATTGTATAGGGGCACTGCTGCCTGCTGGTGTGGAAATGGAGTGTGTATGTGTGTGTGCCTGTGTGTAGGGGCAGCGATTGTTCTCTCACTTATGTGTGAGTGTATCGTGTCCTGTTCCATCTCAAGCTGTGCGGCTTGCATAAGCTGACGGCCACACGCTACCGCATGGCATGCCGCGCGCCGGTGACATTTCTGTGGTTTCCTAGGCAATGTTTTTGACCGCCACCTGAAAGTAACATTTAAAAGAGCCTGGCTGGCTTGGAGGCCTTTTGTTGGGCTGCTTTTTAATGAGATGGCTCCTACTGCTCCAGGGAGGTGAGCGGGGAGACGACTCGCCTAGAGGACCATTTGCATAATACACTGTGTGTGTATATGTTTATGTGAGTGTGGGTGCGAGAGTAAGGATGTGCGTGTGTGTATTGGCAGCCTGGCATCCACACACATGCATTTTTATATTGTCACTTCAGCTTCCGTCACCGTGCCTCTCGCTCTTATTGACGGTTTCTGTTTCGGGGCTCTATTGCTGCGGCTTACTGTTACTGCTGTCTTACTGTTACTGCTGTCTTACTATTCAAATCAGACTCTTTTGATATATGCAGCTCTCGGAGCAAACATTTGTACACACATCTCTTCAATGCAACAAGCTTTCATTCAGCCTGTCTCTGCATTACACACCCTCTCTCTCTTTCTCTCTCTCCAGCTCTTTTTTTGTCTCTCTTTGCCAGCATCATCCCTGACAGCTTTTCCTTTCTCTCTCCCAGCCTTCCCACAACCTGTTCTCTTTAATTAGTCTGACAGAAAGAAAAGCAGAAATGAAGCAAGCGCATGCATTATTCTGCGCAGTTTACAATGCATGGTCTGCCTCCCCAGTTTCTGCTAAGTGAAACCGAGGTCAACGCAGATTCCTTAGAAAGTAGAACAGACAGAGTAAGACGAGATGACACTTCTCTTTTCTGTCTCTCTCTGTGAAGTTTAACATACTACAAATCCAGAACCAAAAAGATATGACAGGGAGAACTGTAACTAGAAGACCAGCAAAGGCCAGTCTGCGTGAATGCTTAAAGCTTAGAAACCTTAGAAAGCGAAAGCCGTCCCTGTTTTGTTTTATGCCTGTGAATGTGCCACTGTGTTTATGTTTGTGTTTGCATGTAAGTCCATGTGTGAAGAAGGGCGACAGTCAGAAAGCACAGGTCAAAGATCAAGGCCTAGGTCATATGTGAGCATCTGTGCATCACTGCGCTTGTTTATGAGCACTGCTTTACATTCCTCCTTAAACTGGCATGGCAGAAACACTTTCTGATCATAGCACCTAAACAAGAGCTCATACATATTAATATCAAACTTAAAAAGTAGGGATACACTGATATGGGAAATGTGAGTCAATGCTGATATCTGATATGTTTCATGTACATATCTGCCAATACTTACTAATAATTCCAATAACCAGTGTTATTTAAAACATTTGAGTAATAGGACTAGATTAACATCGCAAAAAAAACAAATTCAAAACAGGCTGGCTTTGCAACATAGTTACTGTATATGTAGTTTATTTCAAAAAAGTGTGGAAAGTTAAATTTTCGATCATATGGCCAGATCTACCACATGGGTGGCCTAGGTGGCTGATGGTGGGATTAGATGTTAGGTGAAAGTTTGTTAGCAAAGATAAACTGTGTAAAGTTATGCTGTAACTACATAATAATGTTGAAAATTACATGAAGTTCAATGAGTTAAACATTTGCAGGATGTGTTAGCTAGCTAACAAGCAAATGTGGAGAAGTTACTAATGTTAAGCTTAACCTGATTCTTTTTGAAGAAACAATTTATATTAGGTAACATTGGTAAAGTTAACACTAACCCCATACCCTACTCTTAACTCTTTCATTTTGAAGGTGCAATTTATAGGAGTTAATGTTGTCGAAGCTAACCCTAACCTTAACTGTTTTATTTTGAAAGAGGAATATGTAGGGCGGGCGGCACGGTGGCACAGTGGGTAGCGCTGTCGCCTCACAGCAAGAATGGCCTGGGTTCAATTCCGGCCGGGTGACCAGGGTCGTTTCTGTGTGGAGTTTGCCTGTTCTCCCCGTGTCTGCGTGGGTTTCCTCCGGGTTCTCCGGTTTCCTCCCACAGTCCAAAAACATGCAGTCAGGCTGATTGGACATGCTGAATTGCCCCTAGGTGTGAGTGTGTGACTGTGTATGTCTGTCTGTCTGCCCTGCGATGGACTGGCGACCTGTCCAGGGTGTATCCTGCCTTCCGCCCAATGACAGCTGGGATAGGCTCCAGCACCCCACCGCGACCCAGAAGGATAAGCGGTTTAGATGATGTATGTATGTATGTAATATGCAGGGCTTCACATCATCAGTCTGGGGAGCTGCAGCGAGATACTACTTTGATTTCTACCTTTTTCAAAAAAAAAGCAGCTTCACTGTAAGTGCCAGGCAGGCCGGTGTGTTTTTTCAATTTGAGCAGCTGAGAGCACAGCTCTCAAGCTACTGTAATGGAATCGTGATGAGCCTGAGTTTTGCTCTGTTGGGAATAACGCTGACCACCATCATTACAGCAGCAAATCTAGTGCGCAAAAAAGCCATCAATCACATGCTTGTCAGCTGTGAAAGCTGAAATCAGGAGCTAAGATAAAAGGTTGCTACTCAATAGTTTAAAAAATGCAAATTGAACACCTTAATGGTGGCTGTGCTTTACTGTCCTTTACTGCACTTGCTTCTCCAACATTACCATAATGAGCCAGCCATGACTTTAACGGTCTTAGCTAAACAAAGCCAGCGCCTGGGCTCAAACTGGAGACACAGACACTTTGCAGCTCCTTTCAGCACTTATCACCAGCCAAGCAGAGTTACAGCCACAATGTGCTGGTTAACGGCACTATTCTCCCGGTAATCACCCGGTGCCTTATGTAACTTTTCTACCTGTACTTATCTCAGCGCAGCACGCGCGTCGCGGGAGAAAGGCTGGTTTAATAATAACCCAGACATACAGAGAGCCAGCACACCGCACCACAGCGCAGAGAAAACGGCTACAGCCCACCTGACAAAGCGCTTTCCACTGCCAAGGGAGAGAGAGAGAGAGAGAGAGAGAGAGGAGAAGAAGGGAGACAGAGAGGAGAAAAAAAAGAGGAGAAAAAAAACATATTCCTCTGGGAACAGAGAGAAGATCTGAAGGCTCGGCTGTTAATGAAAGCTTTCTCTCTTCTTTCTGAACTTAAGCGCTTTGCTGCTGTCTCTCATTCACTCACTTTTAAGTGGCTGTGCCAACTGTATGGAACATTTATGAAGCTTGTGTGCTAAACAGATCACTGTAAGGGGAGGGGGAGGTAGTGCGCCCACCTCATGCTCTCGCACGAGCCTAATCGGGCTGAGGAGCGGGAAAGTTTAGCCGCTGTTGCTGCTGCAGATGGCGTTTGAAAAGCCTTGGTTAGTAAGGACTTTGAAGAGGGGAGCCGCACTTTGCTTGCTTCTGCCGCTACGCAGGAACTAATCCATCTGTTAGGCCTTGTGTAATGGAAGGCCAAGGTAGAGTGTTAGTGGGTTTCTCTGTGTGTGTTTATATGTGTTGGTTTTCATACATGTTCAGGAAAAATGGCCAGAAAAAAAGAGTAAACCACAATATCAGTACCAACAAAATGATCCCTACTTTGTATTTTGTAAAAGTGCTTTTTTACAAAAGCTGTATGTTTTAAAACTGTAAGTGTAAAACCATTTATTTTTGGCTCTTACTGAAGTGAGATTAGGGGTTTAGGGATAGGCTTAAAAATTCTTACTACATATAGTTACTTACAGATATACTCCTAAAACTAAAGATTTTTTAAAGGTTCTTGGCATTAAAGTGTT